TATTTTCTTTCTACACTGAAAATATCCACTGAACTGCTTTATGAACTATTATTATCGTTGATCTTACGTACGAAAAATTATCATTTTCTTCGGCTTGTACTTGCCTTGAAATTTATATCAAAATGATATTATTTCATGGCAGACTATGTCTAACTGAAAAAGTATTTCTTGGAAATGTTTTTATGTCATAGGAACATTCAGCGAACAAGAATACTGCAAGGTCTGCTAATCCAACCCTCCCTCCAGCTATATCTCTCCGCTAAGACACGAGTACATTTTTTTTGTACCGCGAACAAATATAATCTACATTTGCTGTTAAGCGAACACTGGCTCTTCAATTAACTAGACGGACAACGCGCGGAAAATCGAAGCAAGTAAGCATTACCTGCCCTGTCAGCGCCGCCGGCTGTGCCAGCCTTTCCTCCCATATTGTCGGGAACTAGTATCAGATTTCCAATCTGGCTCGTTCCTCCTCCAAGCCCGGGCACTTCTCACAGGTACTCCCCCTCCCCCTGCTTTTGATGCGTGGCGCAAAGGAGAGCAAACGCCTCCCGACAGAGAAGTCGGTGGCGAACTCCACAGAAGAGGGTTGGAGGGTGGCGGAAGGGGAAATGGGGGACACGCCGTGGACGTTGGAGGGGGTGGGGCGAGGGCCTTCGCCTCGGTCGGCGGCGGCTGGGAGCAGCGGCTCGTCTCCTTGGCGCCAATTCTGTGCAAAGGTAAAGACGGAGGGTTGCCGTTCGATTTCTCTGCTCCCCTAAAAGAAAGAAAGGAAAAAAAACTCTTGGCAAGAAGATAATGTAGAACGAAGAAGAGAGAAAGCTTCGAGACGGGGGGTGCCGCGAAGTTCTGTGGAGGGCGGTTTCTCCTACTATATATACTACAAGCACTACCAACTCCTCTGTAGTAAACATGAGAAAAGACTCCCGTTTTCACAAACTTTTAACGCTAATCAGATTTTAGATAGCGTGACCCAGAAAAGGACGTATGAGAAGCGTAATAAGCAAATAAATCGGATATCCGCGAATAAGCCTTGGAGTGGAGTGCGGGGTCAGCGATTACTTGCGTGCAGAACTTGTCGATTTACGGAGAAGCGAGCGAAATTCAGGCGCGTACGCGGAAAGAATATAATTTTCTACATAGAGTTGTTCGGTTGACTTACTCATTCGATTGACGCTCGAAGTCTGAAAACACTATGAACTAAATGGAATGGGACACTTTACTACCTACTTTTCATTCCTGTTAATCGTAGAGTTCCTTGACCGCAGTAATGTCTGATTTTCTTATAAACAAGTAAACAGAATAATAGATTTTATTACATGTTAGACATTCCATTTAGTGATGACCACAAACTTTTAGTTGATAAATCAATGTTTTAATTTCCGTATGTTTAAATATTTGAGTTTTCTCTTATCTTTCGTCGTTCTTTGTTTCTGAAGGCGGTTCCACACATGCGGTTCCACACATGCGGCATTCGGCGAATCCCGAGTAGTGTGGGCAAGTTGCTTGCGATTCGCCGAGCGCCGAACATTCGGTATTCGCCTTGCCCACCGCGTGTCTGTCTTTAGGACACATCAACGGGAGCGAACATTCGCCGAATACGTCGGCTGTTCGGGATTGGATGAGCTGCTCGGCGAATGGCGAATATGTGGAGCCGCCTTAAGACAAACGCATTTCGGGGTGCTTTTCAATCAGCGTGTACAATTAATTTTCTTTTTCTACTCCCATTGTAAAATAATCTCATTTGATTACTGCAACCCATTCCATAATTTTACTCATACATAATTAATTATGATACAAGTTCGTGACCAATCTCAGAGAAGTTTACGAATCAAGTATTGACACTTAATTCGTTCTAGTAAATATTTCGTTCTATTGTGTATATTAAAATTGCATTTAATACTATTATGCTTGTCAGTTTTGATTTGTTTGATTATTAGTAATTTTTACGTGGAATATTTTTTTAAAATAAATTAGATCGTAATTTCATTTTTATCCTATTTGTCTAGCGCAGTGCTAGCGGAAAAGGGAACATTTAACTGACGTTAAGATCAGAAAGCAAATCGTTTTGTGTTATATGTTGCTGCCGTGTGTTTGCCTTACAAATCTGCCAATTGTTAAGTTTAAAATGTGAAATGAATCAAAGATTGAATTTGCACCTCCATAAATAAGAGAAAATGCCAAATGGTGACCTCGATATTAACGGTATGAGAAATCTTGTCATCAGGTAACGTGTTATAAATTAATATAACTGTTTTTATGTGATTTTGTTGTAGTGAGCTGTTGATACTGTGATGTGATGAATATTGTTACAACGTCGAGTGTTATATGTAGTTATAGGCATCGGCGTTTGCTGAAAATATATTCCGCCCTTGAGTAAGTCTTTTTTGACAAAAACCACTGCCTCGTAAATCAAGACACAAGGTAAAGGAAAAATTCCTAGATTAATAAAGAGAGGCTTTCAAGAATCACGTGAGTAGGATTTTTTTTATAATTCGTACAACTCTTTTTTTTAATCTAAAAGTCTAAGAGCTAAAGATGTATATTTCCCCAGAATTTTATACCATTTATCAGCCATGAATGAACATTTGCGAAATATACACGAGTATTATAAAGACTGACTGAATTTGAAAGAATTCCGAATGCATCGCGTATGTATAAAACAAGGAGGTCTCGCTTGCCAATAAACGCTCTCCCCAAAGCCCAATCCAACGATTTGTGAAATACTGGACGTGATCTGTGGATTCCTCGAGATTCATAAGCCTAATTTTAGGGGTCATGATGAATCCACTGATTCCGTTAATAAAAAGAGAATTACGGTTTTAATCAGTTCGCGTCGTAACGTGAGAAACGTTGACCGCTGGCTGAAGCTGGATTTGGAGATCGACTAGCATAGCGCGTCTTGCAACCAAACTTCCCGATTTTAGAGGCGTTTGAGCGTTTTGAGCACGGCATGCGTAGGGGAAGGAGCGGAACTATGGGAGAGTGGGCATAAGTGCAGTCAGTGCAAACAATGTACGTGCAGTGTAAACAGTTAGAAGATAAATGAATGTTAGCATGAAACACATTATATAATAAAGACTGTATACTAAGCATAAAATATAAATGAATAAATGAAAATTTAAAGAATAACGCACATTAAAAATCCCAAAAGACAATGAGATATCTATAAAAATTAAGTTTTCTGTAGATTTAATTCCTTTGTCTATATGATTTGCTAACACTTGCAATGAAAACTCCGCAATATGATGAATTTTCCTTCACATTTTCCGCAGACCTTGTATATAACTATATTAAGAGCAATGTTGGCCGATTCCCAAAAATGAGCCTTGGAAATCTGGCGTAAAGGAGTTTATTGGTCACATGCGTCTTTAACCCTTGTTAACATGCAACCCTATAAGTTTGTTAAGTGCACTTGTACCTACCTGTAGGTTAAGAAATTTAAAATCTTTAGCAACGGTTTTTAACATTCTTAATAACCTAAATAAACAACCACCCATTGTCACCCTTGCAAGTCAACATTATTACGAAAAAAATACATGGTCATTTATAAGACAAATAGTAGTCAAAGAAACGCATTATTTTTGAGATGATCAATATTAATTATAATGTTATTAAGTGTGCAGTTTTGAAAATAAATATTTGGTAAATTAGCACTATTTTAGTTGTACTTGACGAAATGGATTTCTTCTTAAGAAATATTTACTGACGATGTGGTGACGCCACTGGATGTCAACGCCCCACCTTCCTGGCCGATAGTAATTTTTTTGCCATCTTCACTTTATTTACCAAAGACTGCTCAACATACTATTCGGCCACGGAAGAGCTCCGCCACTCACTAAATAGTTTCAAATCCGGGAAGGGAAGCTCCTGAATCGGCCAATGCAACGCATCCGTTTCCCGAGGTTTAATATATTACGTAACTCTCGCTTTACCCCGTTTCTAAAACGTAAACAAAAGTTCTATACCGTAAAACAAATTTGCATTAATTTTCTTTTGTTTGCATGTTACAATTTGCAATGATTAAAGAAATACAATATTTGATAAATAAATTAAAGACAGATGTATTTAAAGCTAGTATAATATGCTTTCGTTTTAACCACCCTGTAACTTTCGATAATTACTTAATATAGTTTAAAACTGAGTTGATAAAGAAGGGAGGAGAGAAGAGAGAGAGATCATTGTAGCGCCGTCCCCAGTTGCACCATGAAAGACGCAGTACATTGAACAATGACCACGACTTCCTGCCATGAATTGTGCGTGGCCAATGAGTTTGGCAATGCAGTATTCCATGGAATTTTGAGAGGTCATTATGATCCGCTTTCGTTCGATTTGCTACTAAATAAAATGACTACGTTTACGACTAAATAAAATGGATTATTTCTGTAAAAAGTGAATGATTATAAAAATTAATATCGGTGTTACGTTACTATAAATTTTACTTTCCTTAACCTATAAATCGCCTCAAACGCAGTATAATACTGCCTAATCTCCTCTCCCTTTTAGCATTAAGTAACTTATGGATGATCCTTTAAGATAGTGACTTAATGTGTGTCCATAAAAGTACCAAAATCCTTCCACTGTAGGAACATCATAGTTGTGAGGATAGGGTGTATTTTTCTTTTATTAACTTAGTGTGGGATACTGACAGATTTTCACACTATTTCTTTGATTTTTATCAGTAATGGGTTAATTAAAAATAGGTCTTTAAAAAATTGTTTTGTATGTACGGCGATATTATAGTTGTATATTCTGAATTTGAGAATAGAAATGTTATATACAGTACGAAATATCGATCATATAGCTAATGAACGTGAGATTTTCGTATCAACAAGATACACGAATGCTATTTCTCCTATTAAAACCTTAATGAAAATCGTTCTTGGTGTTCGAAAAACAGTACTCATGTCCATAGATATGTTGCAGTTGTCTTCATTGATTTATCAAAATTTTGTCGTAGGGGACTGGGAAGAACAATGTACATGTAAATTTCAATTAAGTGTTTTTCCGAGGAATATTTATTACATTAGACATAAATTACATACATTTAAATTGAAGAGCATTACACTTCATACAAAACATATCGAAATTCTCGTACTTGAATTGTGATCAAAATAGCATTATCTATTTGTACACTGACAGTGCGGACATCTTTTAATCATAACATAAGTTGCAAAATACTATACAATCAACAAATAGAAATATTTAAGTTTGATCACAATTCTTAGTATAATCCAGATGTGTGATTGTCCTCTTCTTTAAATTTTAATTCTGACAGTAGATCTTGCGATTATTGATTGTATAAGGAAACTTTAACACTCAATGATAATACTGCTGTGAAAAAGACGATGATAAAAATTGAATATGGTAGCAAAGAAATGATTCAACGATTCTGGTAACATAATTAATACGCAACAATATTATCATTATACTTGACACCCTTATAGGGTTTAATGAACAGTTATTTTAATGCATTAGAGAAAGGCCGCAACGAGTTAACATTTTCAATTCATATGTTTGTGTAATATGGAAAACTATTGAATGTTTGTTTTCCGAAAGTGCGTTTATTATTTCATAATAATCCTTGTCTACTGTGATGAAAGGATAATACACTTTCTTGCTCTAAAACATGAAGCACCATTAAATGAAATGTGATAAAAATCATGACGTTATTGCGAAATGCTGGGATAGAATGTATTGGAATATAGTCCACTCTTTCCAGAACAATATACTCTTTAAGTACGTTTTGCTTAACTTATTAGTAAAATGTGGCAGACTGCTTGGAACAGTAGCATCACGCCCTTACTCTTGTAATTCGGTTTCTAGCCTTAAAAAGCACAGCTAACTTCAGTGCTGACCAGACTAAATGAATCTACTTGAGAAGTAGTCTTTGTGCATATCACATAACATAGTATGTGTAGGTCACACACTTGCGTGAATAGTAGCTGTGATTTCGTTTACTTATTCTCTGTATATAGAAAGAAGCATGACCATTGCTATTCACATGCGATGCTTTAATTAATAAATTGTTTCTTTACATTCAGTCTTCACATTCGCCAATCCATTGCAATCCAGCAACAGATCAACACAATCTTCCTTTTCTTACATAAAATCTCAAAATATGGATTTAGGCACTTTGCACATACAATCTTTACAATATAGATACACGACAATGATACAACATAAATACAGTAGAGGTAATCGGTACTACATAACCTACATGAAAATATATTTCGGTGAAAGCGTTCAGAGCTTTTTAGCTGTGAACCAAAGGAAACTGTGATAAGCGGACACAAAACATTGATTTCTTTACATATGTATATCTTAGTGATGTTAACTATCATCACGTAATAAATCAAACTTTTTATCGACCTCAGAGATATTGGTCAAATTTAACTGCTAAACGTAATTAGAGGAACAGATAATATACACAAATAATAAATATAATTGATGATCTGACATGTGTACGTTAAAACAATAAATAAAATATTACTTGTTCTTATTATTTACTGGCATCATTTCATAAACGTTTTGTGTAAATAAGTGCTTTATTATTAACAATGTTCCCCTAATTTTGTAGCAGTACATATACCAAAGTTATTATTCACACGAAGTACAAACATAAATATGAAGATAAGTATTGGCATCTCACAATTGTATTATTAGCACCATATCTTAAAGAAGTTGGTAAGCTTTAATTGCAGGTAGATGCCACACATCTGCACTTTTTTATGCGCATGACACGCATTTGCTGGGTTTTTCTAATTCTGCCAGGACATTTCAGAGTTATTCTTCTCCACATGAACTTGAACGGCTGGCACGATCCACAAGAACTGAAAGATGCTTCTGAAGCGTGCATTCTTTGAAACATGGTGACTTCCAATGCTTTATTGGAAGAACTTTCAGGGCTGTACTCTACTGGGACAGGGTCCTGAGGAATGAAGTATGACTTACATTGTCCGACGCAGTACTTGCTTCTTATAACTTTCGGTATGCAGCCTGGCGCCTCCACTGTAATATTCATTAGTGTTGAGAAGCACCAGTCACGTTTCCGGTTGCTTATCGCCAGATCAAACGAAGGTGTCGTGTAGTTTCCAGGTTCATCAGCTCGGATAGGTAAATTATCTTGCAGTGGTAATCTGTTGGAGTAGTTATCTTCTTCATCGAATTGAAATTCCACGTTGGGTTTTTTTGGCATGTTAGTTTCAATATTGTATCGATGATGCTTCCTTTGTTTGTGGTTGTGTTGATCACTGGAATGAGGCTTGTGTTCACTCACTGGATCGGCCGCGGAATTGAGAAAATTGTTGAGAGCAGATACATTTATTAGTTCTGCTATAGAGGGGCCTTCTTCGGAGTCGTCAGCAAAATCAGCAATAATTTCCTCTTCAGGGACAGTGATTTTATGGATACCATCGTTCTCTGTGGTTCTGCGACTAATTCTAGATTTTCTCTCTGGAGCTTCTTTCTCGAGATCAGATTTTCCGTCAGAGGCGTCTTCATAAACGTCTGACGCATCTTTATTCACTTGGTTTCTTCGTAGTCGACGCAGAGAAGTTGGAGATTCGCTGGGTGTTTGATCGCAAGGGGCTTTCAAGTTTTCTTCCGAAAAAATATCAGGATCTTCCTCTAGTTGCAAGTCAAGGGAAAATAACTTACGTACTCCAACACGTTCATCTTCATCAAAGGAATGTTTTAATTTAGCTGGCGAATCATAACTGTTTAAGCTCTGATCTTTGTCATGAACTTTCGGAGACTGAAGAGTTGTGGATGAATCCATAGTTGATGAATATTCATCCTTGGTCTTATCGTATGGTACATTGGTAAACTCATTCCAAATTTCTGTAGAATGATCAGTTGTTACTTCCTTGGGAGAACTTGCTGATATTGGAATTGCTTCATATTGCAATTCATCTGAAACTGTTGCGTTTATTTTGTCTTCTGAAGTCGATGTAACGTTATAGTAAGCTATTTCCGACACGTTGTTGATAATAGTTTCTTCTTGAAGCGAAAAATCATTTACGGCTGTACGGTTGTCAGAGTCTAGGTAATCCACAGTGTTTGTAGACATATTTTCATATTTCGTTGGCCACGCAGAACCATACACTTCATGAGGCGATGACCGAGACGTTTCTTGATCTTGTGATGCCGAGGTGTCCTGAGTTGTAGTTACCTCCGAAATTTTGGCAAGATGTTGATTAGGATAGGCGGCGACGAGCCTCAACAGCAAGAACAGAAACGCGATGGGCTCCATGGTAGACGACATTCACCTACCGCACCTGCACATATGAAAAGAGATTAATTAAAGTTTTTCCCCCCTTTTAAAACATTTTATTTTATAAATGCCTCGTATTATTATTATTATGACACTATACTAATGTACGCGAAATAATAAGTTTTTTAACACATCAATATATATATATATGATATATATAATAATATATATATATATATATATATATATATATATAATATATATATATTAGTCTCCGCCAGTGACACCATGCTGAATTGAGAGTACTATGCAACACAAATTTTGTGGTATCACGACACCTGGACCATCGTAGGCGCGTGGGGGGCCGGTAAAATACGCGGGGCAGAGGGAGTGACGGCATGCACTTTAGGGGACGCCGCGCACGCGGCGAAGCTGCGGGCGGGGAGCGGCGGCTTTTTGGCAGCCCCAGACTCCGTTTTGGTGCGGAGAGACGTTCCCGGCTCGCCGTATATTTACATTGTACGTTTTCTTTAGAACATTAAATGTTGGACTTAAGTCTAAAAGAGGAGCAATAATTAGAACCAATTATAACAGATATACAAATCAATTTTATTGAAATGTTAATTTTCATTGCCCTGGAAATGCAAACGTCTTAGTATCTTTCTTAATACTTAACGGTTTATGAGAAAGTAATACTATCTTTAAGTGGAGGTTATCACCATTTCTTCACTTGTATGCTGATGCCCTGCTGTATAAATGTTCTTCAAAAAATTTGTAATGTTTTGCTCTGAAGAGTATCTAAATAACTGGACGTCAGTGGCAGTTTGTAATGTTTTATTTTTCTCTGCTGATATAAATTTGATCTAACAATTCTGTAATGTAATTCGTGATGTAAGATAGTTTATGTATTTATAAAAATGACAATTAGTTCTTATGTGTGTTATAATTATTTTCATTGTCAAAATTAATGTTGATTTTCTGACAAAAATGTTTACAGAGTTACAGCGAGACTTAGAAGTGATTGTACGAAGATTTTGCTACAGCTGAGTGATTTATCTAAAGTGGCACTTTCAATCAGTTTGCAAATAGATCAGGTTTTTTCATAACTTGTTCTGATATCGCTGCTTCTCAGTTTCTAAAAGGAACGTCTACTTTAAAAATTAAAATTTCCCAAATGTATTGTTTGTTTCGTTTTTGTGGGCATAACTTAGTCAAAAAATGAGAGACAGACTTTCTTCACTAACTCACTCAAGGAAAATGAGTTGTCGACTGCTTTTATCGTTAGTTTTCATGATTTCTCTGATCAATACGAGGCGAATGCTTGACACACACACACAAACATGCACAACACTACTACTTGTGTAAGGAAACCAATCGGGAGATTAGAGATTATCACTCACATCTTAGCACTCAGAGGAACACCGCCAAATCCCGGAGAAAACCTTCAGTACACTAACGGGGTAGTGACAGGGTAGAAACTTCTTGGTAGTGACATTCAGTACACTAATGACAAAACAACTATTCAATTTCCCCAAACGCACTACCCTGCCTTCGGTATATCTGAATCACTTCCATGAATTGAAAGCTGGCTATCGTGACAAATTTTCTTTACACTGGGCTCTCGGTCATCAATGATTCTGTAGCTTGTACGTTCTCCTGTAGAACGGACTCTTCCGCATGTTAAATTCATCCATTCTGAAGCATATTCTCTGCCAATTAGTTCGTTGTGCCCAGTAAAATGAAATACATCGAACAAGTTACATCACGACCAGTAAGTATATATAGTGCTTCCCGTATTGTACTTCAGTCACTTTTAACATTTTCTGTCTTGGACCACGTAGCAGCGAAGCACACCTGATTCATCGTCGATTGTCCTTGTACTGTGACGTAAAACTCTGGGTCATGTAGGGTCCCGGGTCATGTAGCAATGAGTTAACTGACCAGGCTGAGAAAGCTACTCGAAAGTCGTACATTGACATTCCCTCGGCCCCCTCAGGGATTTTAACACTATATTATGCAACAGGTTTACGGTGTTAAGCTCTATTGCAGGAGTACATGTTTAGGAAAAAGAGTGACGTCAGGAGCGAGCGTATTTAAATTTGTGCAAATGCAATCAGGCAACATTATAAGCGAGTTGCTTACGTTATTTTTGTATCAAATTCCGTTTATAATGCTGGCAGACAAAAAAGACATTTATGAAACTTTCAGTACTCGGTTCATGGGATACAGAGATACACAATACCGCTTTTGAAGTGCGATTAAATATTCTGAAAATCCCTGGTCTTGTCATCCCGTGTACTTAGGCGCGAGGGAGTAATTTTAACTCTTCGTATTGGCCTTTGCCAGTTTTATATGGTTTCCTCCTTCGACATGAGCCAACCCATCTGTGACAAATGGAAATCAGACATCTTTGTTTGTTTGTTTGTTTGTTTTTTTTTTTTTGATACTACCTACATTTCCGTGGCTTCTCCGAACAACATCAGGCGAATGCTGAAGCAGTACCCCAACAAACGAGCCACGGACGGCGCGCGATCTTTCCTTCCTCTTCCGTCTCCTATCTTTACCCCTTACTTACACACACTGATACTAACACTGCACTACTCGAGAGACCAGTCGGGAGCTTAGAGATTGTCCCAGCTTGGATGTGTCCTCGCTGTTGAGAAAGACTGATTTTCGTTACTTATCTCGTTACGTTAAAAACAATTTTAGGTATGCTTCCTAGATGTCTAACAAAGGTTTTGCATGCCCTAAAATGCTGCTATTTTTCGTGGTTTTGGGCATAGAAAATGTAGAAGTAAAAAATTCGCTAAATTGATACACCATATCTGTTCGTGCGATTGAGTTACGTAGTACAAACCTTGGTTTAAATGAAGGATTTTCAAATGAACTTCGAGTTAGTAACTGTCGAGTAACTGTGCAAGATTCTGAGACCAAGTAATATAGAATTATGCAGAACGTATGCTGATCTCTTCGTTCTCATGTGCATCCAAGCGTCGGGTTCTCGATATTTCGCTTTGAAGTAACGTGTATTACGCTAAGAAACAAAACGAAGTTTTTCGTACCGCCAAAATGAAAGTGGGTGATTTCAAAGGAAATGATCACGGCAATTTCGAAAATCATCACAAAATTTTAATCACGCAAGGTTAAAAAGCTATGAACATATTTAATATTTGAAATAAACAAAATCCTATACAAATTTCCGCATGACACGGAAAGACTCAGAATCTGCCACCCCAACTGTTGAGTACTTGTACCTACTTGCGATACGGTAAGAGGCTGAAATAATTCGTTCCGATAACTGACGCGCATGAGGAAATATGAGGGTGAACATGACTTGTTTCCAAAACATCCACTAAGACCACTAAGACCTACTCGTAATTTAGCGCGACTACCAGACGCCAGAATAAAGATGGCAATCTTCGAATTCAAAAGGTAAAAATACCATATGATAAGGTATAAAGATTCGGTAAATTAAAAACTGTGACGTAGTATGACTCTTTATTGTGATATTCGTAATATAAGTATAAAATTGACTATGTTGCACATTCTAGGAGGTACTGGAGGTAAAAATCTTGTTGTCTAGTATTATTAATTTCCAATGCGCGCGCAGAAACTGAAAGAAAACTGGGCGTGGTTAGGCGGAAGAGGGGGTCTGACAACCCGAGTCTCGCCACTTAGTCACTATTATTAATACTTTCGACACACCGTACGGCATACGACTGCAAGACTTCATTAGAGGCTTCCCGCCATTAATATTTGCTATTCACGTGATGCGTTATGGAAGAGCACATGTTTGGTATTCTTAGTAAATTTTCAGTTGTACTGTATATATACTAAAGTATTTTATTTAAGAATTTATGGAGACTGTCTTTGTTAAAATGTTTAATTTATTGCATTGTTATGCGCGAGTATTTTATTTATGGTTCCCAAGCAATGTGCGTGCTATTTTTGTGTTAACAATTTGGGTGATTTTCTTCAGTAGCATGTTTGTCAGTTTGCTGCATCATGTTCTGTGAGACGGCGATCTGCACTCAAAAAGATTTCCAGGCCAGAACCGACTACAAAAACCTTATCGCACGACCGTACCCCTCCCCCCAATAACCCATCTCAAAATCCTCAACTAATCCCCGGAAAAATATATAACAAAATACACTGTCAGGTCCCAAAATTGATAGAAAACTTTGATCCCAAACTCCGTATGCGCAAATAGGCTCCTTGAACATCTGTAGAGGATGCCCCCACCAAAGGCAAAAACCCTCAAATCTTCCGCTGTTCAAACATAATAACTTTGCAAGAAGTGTTTACTACTTAATTCGTTGTATCCTACGAGCAATACACAGTTGTAATAAATTGAGACTTTTCCCGAGTACTATTTTCTTTAAGAAATCGTCGTATTTGAAGATGTGAATTCCAAAATGCTTAAAGTCAGGAAATACTTTTCGTTTGAGGAGAAGCTGTTTTTATGTTTTGAATTAATGACTAAACACAGTTCAACAAACAAATCAGTTTAGTCTTGACTTCTCTACTGAGTACTTTTTCTATCTAATTAGTTGCATGTGTGACATATTCAATGATAATCATAATGAAATACTGACCGCACCGAAGCTATCATCTTTCGCGCTTGTTTTATTTAAAAATATGCGCAAGTAGCTCGGAACTTATTTCATTATTCCTAGGTTGTACGCCCATTTCCAACATATAACGCGGTGTAACACCTCTGTGGCACACCAAACACACGGCTCGCACCATAGCCGATGGCGGCCGGCGCCAACGCTCCGTTTGACGCTTTGCCAGCCGCGTGCCCTCCCTCGTCGCCCGCTCCCCTCCCTCCCTCC